CATCCTGTGGAATCCAATCTCAAAGCAATTCAGCAGGCCCCAAATCCCAAGTTGAAGAGCGAACTTCAGGCTTTTTCTGGGACTGTTAAACTTTTACCATTCATTCCTCCCTCACAAGGCTGCAGTGGCTCTTGGATAAACAGGCTCCATGGCAGTGGACAAAAGTCCACAAAAGGAGTTTTGCAGAGGTCAAGGCCTTGCTGTCTTCAAATGAGGTTCTAGCACATTTCAATGAGCAACTGCCTGTGTGCATAGCCTGTGATGCATCCCCTTATGGGATTGGGGCTCTGTTATGTCACTTAAAGGCTGATGGGATACAAGTCCTTGTAGCTTACTATTCTAGGACTCTATCACCTGCTGAGCGTAATTACCCGCAGATAGATAGAGAAGCCTTGGCCATAGTGGCTGGCATAAAAAAGTTCCATGACTTTTTATATGGTCGCCATTTCACAGTCTTTACAGACAATAAGCCACTGCTGGGGTTGTTTACAACCAACAAGCAAACCCCACACATAATCTCTCCTAGAATGCTGAGATGGTCAATTTTTCTTTCTGTGTATGACTACTCACTGGTTCACAAACCAGGCAAAGAAATGGGCCATGCAGATGACCTCAGCAGACTACCTCTACAGCTAGAAGAATCAGATCCTGCTCCAGCTAACCACATACTTTCCATTCAGGATTTGCCTGAGTCTCCCCTCAATGCTAGGTATGTGGCTTCAGAAACAGCCATTAATCACACGCTAACATGCATGTTGACATGGGTGCTGTCAGGATGGCCTGACACATGTCCTGGCACAGAGTTCCAGAATTTCTGGAAGAGGAAGCACGACTATCCATCTTCAAGGGGTGTGTCCTATGGGGTAGCAGGGTAGTGATCCAAGCCTCATTGAGGACTAGAATCTTGCTCTCTCTGCATGAGGGACATCCGAAAATAGTCCGGATGAAGGCGCTTGTGTGCAGCCATCTTTAGTGGCCTGGACTCAATAAAGAGATCGAGGCCCAGGTCCATGGGTGCAGTATTTACCAACAGTCTAGGCCTGAAATACCTCAGGCTCCTGTACACAGGTGAGAAGAGACACATGCCCTTTGGTCGAGAGTTCATATCGACTATGCTGGCCCCTTTCAGGGGCAATTCTTCCTTCTCCTCATGGACAGCCATTCCAAGTGGCTAAAGGTCATTCCTGTCTCCTCCACTACTACTGCAGGACCATCCAGATGTTGAGATGGATCTTCACCTCTCATGGGTTTCCAGATGTCCTTGTCTCTGACAATGGATCCCAATTCACTTCTTCTGAGTTTCAGGCTTTTCTACAGGCCAACATGATCTGTCATGTCACATCCACACTGTTTCATCCAACGTCCAATGGCCAGGCTGAGCGTATGGTGCGCACAACCAAAGATGCTTTAAAGAGGATCATTCACGGAAGCTGGCATCACAGGTTAACTGACTTTCTTCTTTGCCACCATACCACATTTTGCACAGCCACTGAAAAGAGCCCAACTGAACTCTGCTGGAGTCACAGACTCATTACAAAACTGGACAGATTGCACCCAGACCAGGTGGCTGCACAGGTGTCATAGCCACAGGCACCTATGAGACTACAGGTGGGCAATCCAGTCTGGGCAAGGAACTATGGACCTGGACATCTCTGGGTGACAGCAGTGGTCTGCAAAGTCACTGGGTCGCTGTCATATGAAGTGGCCTTGGATGATGGTCGTGTGTTACGTCGACACATCGACCAACTGTGCTGGAGGCTTCCAAGCCACATTTCCGCTCCTGACTCTGCTCTTGGGGGGAAGGACCACGATTACGATCATGGACTGCAGTCTCTCTGCGAAAGTGGAACTTCACAGACACCAGTAAGGTGTTGTGCCAATGAGGTGGCTCCTGACTCTGGCACCGGCACTGGGTCCATAGGACATTGCTCACAATGTTCAGCCATTCCATCTGCTGGTCTTGGGCTCACAGGACAGTGCTCCCAAGAGGGGTCCATTGTGGACTTGGGGAATCCCACCCCACCAAGCAACTCTGGTCTGGGTTTACAGGATCTGGCCAGTCAGCAGGTTGGAGGGTCACCTGAGTCTAGGAACTATGGACCTGGACATAGTCCTGATCTGCCAAGTTTGGCAGGTGAGCTTGCAGGCCAGGCAATCACAACTGCTCCAAGAAGGTCAGAGCGAGCCAGAGGTCCACCAAGCACTTACAGGACTATATAAGATTCCTGTCAGGAGGTGGGCAGGTTTAAGGGTACTTAGAAATCAGAACACGCTCAAAAGAACAAGTGTTCAATTTATAGTAATGCACAATAATGAATATCATTGTGTTATGATTAAAGAATTGACAAGGTATTAGATTTGTAGTATTGTAAAATATTAAGTACTATGTTTTGAAATAACGGAGGAGGGGTTTTATATCCTGGGCCTGCTAAGTGACTCAGCAGGTGCAGGAAGCTGCAGAGAGGCCCAGGCAGACCACATGGATGCTCGGGACCAGACAGGCTGTCTCCAGCCTATTGCCCATTCGCAAAGCCGGAGAATCCGTTGTATTGATTGGCTGACACTGTCCCTGCAAAGGGGTATAAAAGGAATCGGCGCCATTTTGTGTTAGTTCTGTTGGAGATTAAAATAAAGAGAAGACTGTTGTTACTCATGCCTTGTCTCAATGCCTTTACATTGAAAACAGAATAGTAACCTTTTCTCAGGAATTTATTGCTTTTTTAAAAGCATTCAATGAACATTGTGTCATTAATTATTGTGAGATAAACCTAAGTAATCCTTTGGGCCTTGCTTTAGTTCATCCGCATAACATATGTTACAAGTAGAAAATTTAAGTGTTATATTGATTTATTAACTGATTTCTCTTCTTAATGTATGATATGAAATAGCATAGGCTGTCTTTTCAAGGTAAGAGTTATTTTATATTGCAAGGCATTTTGTTATTTTGTTTGCTGTAAAACAAATTGCAATCAGTAAACCTCATTATGTCCTTGGAGTATAAAGCAACAGATGGATATATTTATATATTATTTGTGTTGCTTACATAAGATAAGGTTATAATATGTCCAATACTTCCTGACAATTCTGTTTGTAGAATAAGAACACTGAATCTGCATGGAAATCTAATAATAACCAAAAAATAAAGCTACTCTCTTCCTTCCCCACATTACAATCAAGCTTTCCTATTTTCTTCCTTCTCCTCGAATTTCACCAGGATCCAAATTTTATCTCTTTTCTCTTTCTTCTCACTTCATGTTTCTTCTACTTCTTCTTGTTAATGATAATGATTCAGGAAGAATTACTAATGTAGGTTTGAATAATGTTGTGTATAGAAATATGGAAATATTGATTTATCTTTGAATGAACGAGAAAGATTTGGCTGTGGAACTCTCCAAATGACTTTAAGCTATTACTCTCTTGCAGCCAATAGTATTTCCCAGAATGCTTGTATGGAAGATAAAGTGAGGACTGAATAACTTGCAAACAATCATTAGGTTTTATATGGGGCAAGTGAATGGCAGGGGATGGTGTTCTAGAAGATAGAAATATGTCAGAAAAGATATACTTCCAAGGTTCCATAAAATGGCACACTTTTTATTGAAGGGACATGGAGTATACATCTCCTGTCAGACAATGTGGGATGCATAGAAAGAACTGGAAAGAGGTGGCCCCATGCCAAGGAGGTTTTATAACTAACAATCATACCTTGAATCCAGTTGAAAGCACACTGAGCTGCTGTTTTTACTTGGTCTTTCAGATTTGATTTGCTTGTTCTAGAGGTGGGACAAGTGATACTGAAAACTCATTGCTCTATCAATGGTCAATAATGTTTATAATTTAATTTCTTACACACTCACAATTACAGTGCAATATGAGTATTTTACAACAACTTAGTCTTCTATCATTCCTAAATTAGTGAATATAATTACCAATATGTAAACTTGATGGCAAAATTTAATTCTGTGTGTAATCAACCAAAAGTAAAATTAACACAGAAATTATGCAGTTATCAAAGCATCAGATTTGCAGATTTGCTTTACTTGCACTGGGAGTTTATTCTGGAATTGCAATTAAATCATTTTAAATTTAGTCTACTGATAGTATCAGTCCTACCCATGTTTATTTATGAATATAAGGCTTCTATTAATCCTTTCACCTTCCCTTCTGTCTTTTCAAAAATTGTACAGGCAAAAAAAAAAAAAGGATTTTTGTTGCCAAATTTCAATGGCCTGGTTAAGATCATACAAGCTGTGCTGAGAAATTATTGTAGGAATCAACTTGTCTTAAGTTATATAAGTAGTTCATTTTATAATAATCAGCCAAGCATTCTGATGCTTGGGGACAAATCTAAAAATGTTCATGTTTAATATTGCAGGTTATATATGTGTTCAATTATATTCAAGCATACCTTAGCTATTGCAACAGTGAAGACCATTTTAAAATGTGTATAATCCTGATTTGATGTACTCAGATAACTTCTTTTGAATGTCTCCACGTGGTGGCCATTTTCAATGTATTTACACAGATATTTTTCAATGGTTTTGAGAACTCCAATTTCTTTCTGTAAGTTTACTTTATAATTTCCATGGTGCATTTTAGATTGATGGCAAGACCCAGTGTCTATGACATTTTGCAGTCATTGAATAGTCAATCAAGTGTATCTTTTGGCAGAACTTTATATTAATCATAAAGAAAAAATATCATGAGAAGATGAAATAAATGTCTCTTCATTAACTCATTAGCAGGAAGAAAGGCCCATACATTTAACAATATGTTAAGTCACTATTGTATAATATGTTAATAAAAATAATCAGGAGAGATTATCTTATAACTGCATGAACTAATGTACAGTTTTCCATGTATCAGTTGAATATGTAAAAACCAGATCACACATTCCTTAAATATTTGCTTGCCTGTCTTGATATAAATATATAAGATTTTGCTTTACTTAGCCTAAGCAGTACATAACTATTCAACAATAATTTTATTTTCCTCTTTAGGGGCTGATGTTATCAATTTTGATGGCCATGCTGTATTACCGTATAGATTTGGACACAAGAAGAAAACATTGAAAACGCTGAAAGATGTCATCGCTTTGAAATTTAAAACCATTGAAAGTGAAGGTGTACTCTTTCACGGAGAAGGACAGCAAGGAGATTATATCACCCTAGAACTGAAAAAGGCCAAACTGTTCCTTAATTTAAATTTAGGTATGGCTTAAAAAAACAAGAAATTGTCTATGCCTTAGCATTAGATTTATAACTCTAAATGTATCATTTACCTTTTCTAAAAGAAAGAATTTAAATCAGTTTTTAGACAGAATGAACTTAGAATGATATAGATTTATTTTAGGAACATTTTATCTAGAAATGGAATCAAGTTTTTTTTTAGCTCAAGCCCACAGAGAAAAATATCACATTCCTGATTGTGATTTTTCAGTATACTAATCTGAAGTAAGGAGCCTGCTAGAGGTCTGAAGTAGAGAATCTGTTCCCTCTGTGGGCTTCTCCTTAACACCTTATGGGAGGAGGATGTCACTAAGTAGTTTTCAGTTCAAACCTTTTGACTGCTAAAGGCCCTATGGCAGAAATGTAGGGTTAGCAAACTCAGGGAGGGTTTATTATCTGCCAATGATTTGGGGGGGGGGCATTCTTTGTTTAACATGATCAATTAATATAGAAAACTTTGACAGTGTTACTTGTTATAGGAAAAAGGACTTCCATGGGTACCATGTGATGAGAATGGAATGATACAAACCATCTCTACCCTAACTCTGATGTGTAATTTTCTAGGTTCTATCTCAGGTATCTAAGAACCAGATGATGCACATGAACAAATAAGCATATATTTCAGGAATATGTGGATTGAAATATTCCTGAAATATATGCTAACTATTTGGATGTAAAGCTAAGTGATTAGGTTATTTTTTTATATTTAACAGTGCGAAACCCATCAGTTCTCCTATTTTGCATCACTATATTTTATTGCTTTTAGCTATTTTTTCTTAACTAGCTTCTAATACTAACTGTAAAAAAATCAGAGATGACCTTGGAGAAGATAAGAAAGAATGATTAAGAAACAACTAGCAGAAAAGATTGCTTAGTCTGGAAACGGAAGGAAATATTCTACACAAAGTCAAAATAACCCACCTTGATTTTGTTTAGTGTAACATGGAGCAGAGATAAACTTTGACAGGTTTTCAAGTTTCTGAGGCAATGCCTTGCAATAATAAGGTAGCATTTCTTAATCTGGTTTACCTTAAAGGATTGACAAGGACAGAGGTGGCTGGTTTATAATATCTTGAGACAGTGGAACTTAATAAAGTAAGGCAGAGGAAAGAAGTGTGTTCTGTAACTTTTTTTGTATATTTCCCTTATCGTAAAAATATTATCCACATAACTGTTTAATAACAAAACAGACAGACTCTCAGATGAGAAAAAAGTGAACTAAATATCTCTAGATACAGGGATGACCAACAGACCAGTGACAAGCTTGGTCCAACAGAATAAGGAGAGGTCAAAGGTTGCCCATTGGACAACTTCTCCATATGAAGAAATTGCAGGATAAAGGTCATCTTGTAGGTCTGAATGTCATAGATGAGTGAAGGTGTCAACCATAGCTTAGCCTTTATAGACCCTGGGTTGTACTAGTTATTTATTTATTTATTTATTCATTCATTCAAATTTTAACATTTTATTAGATTATAGAATAAAATATAAAAATACAAAAACAAATAATAGGACACAGTGAGGAGGGAAAAGTGAAAGAAAGGAGGAGAAGCAGAAAAGAAAAAAAAAAAGCATTGACTTCTGACCCTGTCTGTTGCAGTAGAATAAAGTATTAACATCGAACCTAAACTTCTTACTTTTCCATAATAGTATAAACTAGCCATTTCTATGACAACAAATAAATCTAAACAGTAAAACCCAAAATAAAGTTTCATTTTTTCCACCTCAAGCATAAAGTCCAGAAGTGGCCTCCAAGTAGAAAACAAAAATACTTATATTCTTTTCTTTAGTCATAATGGTCAATTTGTCTATTTCTGCCAACTCAATCAGTTTCTGTAGCAATTTGTCCATAGTGGGAATCAAAATGTCCTTCCATTTTTATGCATTTTGTCCATTTTGCTGCTGTCAACATAAGATATGTTCCATTTTTTTCTCCAAGTCTTTATCCATTGAGCCCTCCAAAAAGTTTCTGGTTTCATCTTTTTCTTTGTTTTAAGAATTTTCTTCTTTTTTATTATAAATTTTATTGGTTTTAATAGGGTTAAGGATAAAATGGGGTCGGGATTAGGATTGGGGTTTGGGTTGGGGTTAAGTTTGTGGTTGGGGTTTTCCCAGGTAACATTTTCAATATGTAGCAAATAGCATATTATCTGGGTACATGTATTTAACTAAGAATAATAGATGTAGTTAATTATCATAAAAGTATTAATCACTCTGTAGCTTTCTTCTTATTAATATATATTCAAAATTACATGTCACATTCCTTTCTAGCCATTGGTAAAAGTTATCCCATATTCTAAAGTAGACTGAATCTTCTTTCTCTTTAATCTTTAAAGTCAATCTATCCATTTCTGCACACTCTAGAATTTTCTTAATTAGTAATTCTTCAGTTGATAAGTTTTCATTTTTCCAATATTGGTCAAATACAATTTTTGCTGCTGTTAATACAAGTAGTATTAGATATCTGCAATCTTTCTCATATTGGCTCCTATTATTCCTAACAAAAACAGTTCTGGTTTAAAGTCTATTTGTTTTTTAGTCATCTTATCCAATCATAAATGTACTTTAGTCCAATACCTTTTTGCTTTAGGGGATGTCCACCAGATGTGGTAGTATGTATCTGGCCTTTGTTTGCATTTCCAACAATTGTTTGAAATATTTTTAAACATTTTTGCTAGTTTTACTGGTGTCATGTGCCATCTTAAAACATTATGTATAGGTTTTCTTTATATGGCACTGCTTTAGTTAATTTAATATTTCTTTCCCATAATTTTTGCCACTCTTCTAATTCTATAGTATGTCCAAAATTCTTTGCCCATATTATCATTGTTTCTTTTACTTGTTTTTCCTCCATCTTTAAATTTAATAGAAATCTATAGAGTTTCTTGATCAACTTTTCATCTCTTTTTAACAGTATCTCATCAAAGTCTGTCTGCTCTTTTTTAAAACCTGTTGTTTTAACATCTTTTTCATTTCTCGTTTGAATTTGCAGATATGGCCACCATGCTAAATCAATACCTTGTTCTTGTAATTCTTGTCTGTTTTTCAATTTTCCTTCATTATCCAAAATATCTTTATAAATCATGACTTTATCCTAGTTAATTAAATTTGGGTAAGCAAAAGCTTCCATTGTTGAAAGCCATTCAGATATCTTAATATACATTTTTTCTTTTATTCTTTCGCATTCTGAAAGAAGTGCATTTTTTATAAAATGGTTTTCAAAGTATCTATGTATTTTATTCTTTCTATACCACAGAAAGGCATGCCAACCAATTTGCAGGTCATGCCCCTCTAGGTATAGTAGTCTTTTATCTCTAAGCATTATCCATTCTTTAAGCCATGTTAGAATGGTTACTTGACAGCATAACCTCCAGTCTGGCAGTCCAATTCCTCCACTGTCTTTTGCTTCTTGTAGCATTTTCACTGATTCTAGCTTTTTTTTCCTTCTCAGATAAATTTCAATATTATTCTATTCAGTTCATAAAAAAAAGCTTTTCCCAACCTTACAGGGATTGTTTGGAATAAAAAGACCATTTTTGGTAAGATATTCATTTTCACTGTTGCTATTCTCCCCAACATTGAAAGTTGGATGTTCTTCCACTTTTCCAAATCCAATTTTATTTGTTTTAGCAGTCTTACATAATTATCTTCTTTTACTTTTACACATCTTGCTGTTAAATAAATTTCCAAGTACTTGACATTTTTAACTATTTGGAGATTTGTTTTTATTATTAGTTGATTTTTTTGTTTTTCTGTTAAGTTCTATGTCAACACTTTAGCCTTTTCTCTATTTATTGTCAGGCCTGCCACTTTTCCAAATTTTTTTATGTTCTCCAGAAGTTTAGTGCTTGTTTCCAATGGATTTTCCAATATAAAAACCAAGTCATCTGCAAATGCTTGTAATTTATATTTTTCATATTTTATCTCCAGTCCTTCAATTTCTGTATCTTGTCTAATGTTTCTATTCAATACATCCAATGTTAGTATAAACAGTAATGGTGGTAATGGATACCCCTGTCTTGTGCCCTTTTTAATGTTGAAATTTTCTGTATAGTCTCCATTTATGATTATTTTAGCAGTCTGTTTACAATAAATTGTTTGAATTGCATTTTTAAAGTTTTTTCCAAAGTCCATTTTTGCAAGCTGCTGAAACATAAATTGCCAGTTTAAGTTGTCAAATGTGTTTTGTGCATCAAGGAATATTAAAGCCATCTGTTTCCCTGGATGAATTTCGTAATACTCTTAACACATCAAGGATCATTCTTAGATTATTTTTTTATCTCTCTTTTAGATAAGAAACCATTTTGATCTGTGTGTATAAATTCAATCAAAAATTTCTTTATTCTTTCTGCCATTATTGAAGCAAAACTTTTGTAGTCTACATTTAATAATGATATTGGTCTTTAATTTTTATTTGTGTCAAATCAAAGTCTTCTTTAGTTATTAAAGTAATATTGGCTTCAGTCCATGTATTTGGTATTTTAGCCTCCAAGATAATTTCATTACACAATTCTTTCAAAATCGGACTTAATACATCTTGTAGTGATGTATAGAATTCTGCAGGTAATCCATCTGGGCCCGGAGTCTTATCCTTCTTTTGCTTTTTTATGGCCTATATAATCTCCATCATTGATATTTTGCCATTTAATATGTCTTGGATCTTGTCCGGAATTTTTGGTAAATCTGCTTTTTTTTAAGTACTATTGTATTTTTTCTTTTGGAATTTTCTCCGCCTTGTAGAGTGTCTCATAGTAATCTTTAATGATTTTTTAAACTGTATCATTTTGAAACTGTAATTCTCCTTTTGGATCTTGCAGATTAGTTATCAAATTTATCTCTTTTTCTTTTTTCAGTCTATATGCTAACCATTTCCCTGGCTTGTTGACATTTTTAAACAAATTCTGTTTAGTCCTTTTAATCTGTTGAGCCATTATTTCCATCTCAGCTAAATTTAATTTATGCTTTATTATCTCCATTTGTTT